TCAAACCTAAATGTAATTACAAAGCAAGCAGAAACAGAAAAACAGACTTTCGTCATGTATAGATGTTATTAATCCGAGTGTTTAGATGGATGGATGGATATTCGTCTGAAGGTATCGCCGGAACGGCTCCGTGGATATCGCTGAAATTTGGCATAGATAAAGAACATAGTCTGGATGAACAAGGACGCGGTCGCGGGCGACAGCTAGTTAGCTATGTGTGAGATCATCAGACAGAGGATAAAGTGTAAGAGAGATAGAAGTATAAAGAGCGAGACAGAAAAAATAAAGTTCCGATTAAAAGAGAAGCAAGGTATTTTTTTTATCTCCAGCAAGAATTTGGAATGACATTATTTATAATTATTAACTGCTGATGCTATCAAAAGTGGTACGGTTAAGAATGTTGAACATTTGACGTGTTATAATAACAAAGAATGAAGATGTTATAAGAAATATTACAAACACAAACACGCTTAAGCTAATAAATATAAAAGAGATAATTATAATTATGTAAGCAAAGCAACATAAAACGATGCACGTGCGCGCGCCTCGTAAACGCAGCAAGAATAGTTCAGAATCTCACTTTAATGATCGTAAACGTCACTTATAAGAAGAGAGCACTGAATTAAGAATAATGTTACACACCGGAGACTAACCGTGGGTTTCTGAGATCATAACAGTTTAAAACATATTGTTGATAGTCTGAGATTTTTTTCTCAGAACCCAACGGTCAATGATATATACGAGGTGTTAAGTTCTATTAAATTGTTTTTCTTCAAGAATAAACTGAATGACCGTACAAACTTCTAATGTATAAGTAAATGTTTAACAAATTTAAATCGACGTTCACCAATTAAAGGGAGTGTAGAAATTTCATGAAAAAGTAAAAATAAAAATTAGCTAAATTAGTATAATTTGAAGAATATATAAAGTAAACGTAATGTCCTAGTCTTGCGAATCCAAATCGCTTCTAAAATATTAGACAAAATAAGATTGTTAAGAAAATAAGTTATGAACACCTTCAGAATAGAAAATGCAATAGACAAATAACTACAAAGTATTCATCAAAGCTTAGTTGTACTCATGATTGTTGTGACGATATAAATTATGTTAGAAATCGATAAGATTCACTCTATTTATAGAACACTCGCGGAAAAGCATACAGAAATAGAAAATATATGACCCGCATGCGTCCGGATGCTAAATATAGATTACGAGACGGCAATGACACGGTTACAATACTTCTATATGTTAACGTAAACTGTTTAGATTAAAATCAATTGATTTTTGTTTGGAAAGTCTTAGTGGTTTTTGGGCGAATAATGAACCAATTTCGATGATGCAATGAATTAACGTTAATACGCAAATGAATATTCAACACTTTCACGTGATAAAAAGCTTAACATTGTTTCGAAATCTAACATTAAATAATGTTGGAATTTTTTGAATGCATTTAATCTTCCAACGTCAATATTAAATAACTTTATCTTATATCTAACATAAAATAATAAAACCAAGCTTCAAGATACAACAAAATCTAAAACAAACATAAGTGTACCGTAAGGCGCCAGCTTACAAAATCTCGTAGACTTCTCTCAACGGACGTCACAATAGATAATGTACAAATCCCTTGCTTTGTTTACTACACCACAAAGGTAGATAGCTCAGACAAACACGTAAATGGAAAGCAAATATTGGTGTAGATCACTATCTATGCCGTGAACATCGGATGATAATAGGGTATTTATGGCCGTGAGAGTAAAAATTTTCGTTAAAAGAAATGTCAATATTTACTTAAAAGAATTGAAGAGAAAGAGATAGCCAGTTGCTTACGATACTTAGGTATCTAGGTTAAAATGCTAGAAATATTTACGTCTAGACCTCTCCAGTAATGTTTTATAAGATGACTAAACTAAAAATAACGGCATCATAAAACTAGACAAATATAATGATAAACTTTGGCGCTTCTAGTGAAATAGAAAAGAATTGGAGGAGAATATTAGGCAGTATGCCAAAGAGTTTCTTTGCCTCGGTCAAGGTCAGACAAAAGGTCAAACAAAATTATTTTTTTATTTTATTTATACTCTACATACATTCGTGGTTTCGGATTTTATAAACTAGTATAGGTATAAATACGTAAAAAACGATAAATGAAACCGATATACGAAGGGTTTCCGAAACCTGCAATCTCTGTAAATCGTCATCCCTGTCATTATCTGTGATAAAATAAAAAACAATCGCAGTTTATTAGTCTCGCTAAAACTCGAGAACGGCAGAACGGATTAATCTTATCTTGGTCTTGAAATATTCGTGGAGGTCTAGGGAAGGTTTAAAAGATGAGAAAAAATCGAATAATTGCCGGGAACTAATTTAATTTTTTTTATTCCACGCAGACGGAGTCGCGGGCGACATTTAGTCTGTAATAAAAAAAACAGATAACCATATGTTTTAAACGGGGATTTTTAACCTCAGAAACCCACAGATTATAAGATATAATTAGGTGCTATATCTCGCAATTTGTTGAGGAAAAGTTATAGCCGCATGTCTGGGAAAATAAAAGTGACTAATAACCTGTTTATTTCCAGAGAAATCGACTGTTAATTAAACCAGTAAATTAATACTAGAAAACTGATAAACTAATAAAACCTACTAGAAATTTTGTGGAAAATAAATTTTATGAAGCATAAATATTTATAAACAGCCAGTTTTGAAAAAGATCAAACTTTTTCCTTAAATGTAGAAACACGTCGTTGCTGAAAAAAGATTTTAATACAAAATATAACCGTATTAGAAATCGACATGAAAAATATTTTTAAGAGTACAGTCAGAACTTGATAATAAGGGAGAGTCCAAGGGACTGCGACATTTTTCTCGCTTTAGAAGTTTCTTGCTCATCCGAGTTTCTTACTAGTCCAGGTTCGACAGTACCAATACCATTTATCAATCCCGTAATGTGAAAGCCTTTATTTTAATAATGATTAACATTGTCAAGAAATTCCTTCTTAAGTAGATATTCCCGGACGGTGTTTTTAATTTAATTTATATATTATCATTACCATATAAATGGATCATTAATTTGAACGGTAATAAAATAGATGAGTCGTTCCGTGGGATTTTGACTGGACTGTATCTTATAATCTTTACTGTGACATGGGTTCATCAGTATCGGTTCATTGATTGTGTCATTGATAGCGATTTGAGCGGGAAACGTAACCTATTCCATTTTATGGATACTGATCATTTGATTCACATAAAGGAGTCAAGAAATTTAAATGATGAACATTTATCGAACTATTCCAAGAAATTATACATCATTATCTCATTATCATTAAACTATAAAATTAATGATAGAATTTAAGATTTTCCTTCCTAGCTATCATTACTAATGCAAAGTAATACTGTTTCATATGCAAAGAAAGTAAATGTTTTTAAAGTATAGATTAACATTAAACGTTAAAACAAATTAAATACAAAAGACTTTTTCTTTTTAACCTGGGTTTTTGAGACCAAAATCTGTATAAACATGACGTCATCCCTGTCATTGTTTTTGACAACACCACAGAGATAAAAATATACTTTAAATTGAGATTTGGACTCAGAAACCTACGGTAAAATACTGACTACGGAAGCACTGTAATACTTCAAGTCATAGTAATCCTTCTAAAGTGATCTAATTATTCACTAAGATACTAACTACGGAAGTACTGTCATACTATCATGTCTTAGTAATCCCCTAAACCTTGTCTAATCTTACAAAACCGACGAAAATCGGGTTAACATCGATAATAGGTACGATAAGAAGCCAACAAAATGGTAAAGCAAACAGATAATTGTGATCGTTTTAAAGTAAATATTTGTACGCCCATGAACCCTTGCACTGATATGAAACATTCATTAAGCTCCATTAATATGGGTGACAAATGTAGGGTATCTTGTTCACATATTGTCCTCTCTCACATTTACTTTGAAAAAACCAGAACAACAATATGTTTCAATATAAGTATTACGACAGTCGAAACCCAGTTACATTTACGCATGCAAAGGAGATTTGTTCGAACGTGTTCAAGCGAGGATAATGGATTTTAAAACATTCAAAGTCAATATTTTCTTTGATTTACATTTGACATGGCTTTTACTTAACTCTCCAGCATACAAATACTGTTTTATGCAATGGAATATTTATAAACAAACATTGAAAGATATTGTAATACTAGGAAGAGAGTGTTTCTAGAGACGATAGTATCCTTATCAAGAGACTTTAATACTAGAAAATTTAATTATGATTCCTAAATTTAATGATCTTTACTAACTTTCTAACTAATTCACTTCTTTTTTATATCATAAGGTGGCAAACGAGCGAGCGGCCACCTGAAATCGCTGAAATAGCGAAGTGACCGTTGCCCATAGACATACGCAATTGCATATGCGTTACCTACCTTTAACCGACGGAGGAGAGGATGCACAAAAAGAAAATATGTTCCCTTCCCATGCATCCTTTCATCCGGAAAGTCCACTTCCACTTCCCATCTTTTCCTTATAAGAAAAAAGGTGGGAAGGGAAAGAGGATTAAATTTGGCCTCCGGAACGCACACTCATCAAACGAAACGCGGAATTGCTTCCACTTCACGCCTGTCTTCTGTTCGGTCGTGGTATTTCACTGGACGAGACGGGCCAATTCGTGCGAAGATGTTAAAGCGGGATCTACCACTGTTTGACACACTTGAAATAGTCGTCTTTGTTCGTCCGTTATTCGTCCGGTGGCACCGACTAGTTTCGAGCTCATCGGGGGCCCTTCATCAGGGTAAGTGGGACTGGTATTGTTTCGCGGACGCGGTGGAAACATTCGTGGGACATTATATAAACTTATATTTTTACGATAACTCACGAAAGTTTGAATAATTTATTACTTGACATATCTTTAGGTAGATAATGAAATATCTTCCGAACATTACTTTATAAGACATGCCTGCTGCATGATAAAATTGACACTAGAAAAGAAAATTCTCCGACACAAAGACCTTTATTTTGCAGTTAAATAAAATTGATATAAGAATTGTTAATTACCGTAAACACAGGAACACCAAGTCCGACGATATACAGCATGATGTTAGTAACAGTGGAGTCTTTGTAGGGATGCTTGAGGGACTCATCGTCGCAGAAGAAACCACGCTTGTACGGATCACCCCATAGGTAGAACGCGAGGATCATAAATCCAACTGAAACAAGAAAATAAACACAATTAAATTTAACATAATTTTAACATTGATTCGATTTATTTGTAAGAAACAGCCATTGATGTTTACAACTAGAAGAATTCTATAAACAACTTTTTCCGCTCTTTCATGTTGATCTTAATTTGACTGCCCAATAAAAGCAAATGTCTAATAATTCATACCACATCTTTTACAATAGCAAAAACACAAAGGATAAGATTGTTGTTTTCATTAAACAGCCTGTAGAAAAAATGTGAAAACCAGGGTTCAAACAAAAATACATCCATCACGAATAAACATTCCTTAATAGTAATATTTTATAAAAATAAATTATATGGCCTACAACAAAATTAGGAAACACAACATAAATCAAACGCCCAATCAATGTTACAACATTAGGATGTAAAAACAGTCGAGAATTTAAATTGGGCCGTGGGGTTCACAACGACCCCTGAGGGAGAAAAAATAAACCATTGTTTCACGGTACGTTTTTACAAAAAATTATGGGCAAACTATTTCAATGAGCACATCATAAATGGAAATTAGATGCAAAAGTATTAAAAAAAACAATAGAAAAATCGGACTAATATTATAAATGAGAAAGGATATAGATGGATGGATGTTTGTTTGTATCTTCAGAACGACTGAACGCATCCCGCTAAAATTTTGCATAGAACATAGTCTGGAAGAACACATAGGCTACTATTTAATTTCTTTTTAATTCCGCGCGAACGTAGTCGCGTGTGCCAGCTAGTTTTTAATAAATGTATAGATATTTAAATAGATTAAAGGGAAGATTGTAGAATTAAAGTGTTAAAATAGAATTTCCGACCTACAGTCTTATCCGTCCATTAGTAGTAAAGTAATAAAAGTCGGGTTTTAAGTATTTATTAAAAGCGCTAGTAGGCTATAAAAATTGAGAATTTTATTTGAATTTAACGGTACTGTTGTTAGCTTGAATCATAAAAAAGCTGTTAGCGTATTGTAGAATGTTTAAATTAAGAGTGATAAATTAAATTAAACAGTTTCTTCGATGCGACAGTGAGTAATTGTTTATTTTTCTCTGTATTAAGAGTAACTTCTTATCTTAGGTTATAAAACATACGTAGCTCACTTATTTTATGAGCGGTTATAGCGCTGAGGTTATAAGTGTGACTTTAACTTGGTTACATTTGAATGAAACTAATTAAAAATGTAATTAACACGGATCCGCAAAAATAGGTTCAGATCGAATATTTTCGATCGTGAATAGCATAAGGTCGAATTAACGGTCTATATTAAACGTGACAATGTAATGCGGAAGGATAATTCAGCCCCAATTCCCCCTACGGTATTAGGAAGCAGAGCGTGACATGCCGCTTCAACATCTGCCTCAACCGACACCACTTGTAATTGCATTCCAAATTGTCATTAAAAAAACGACAGCAGTACAACAGCAGAACTATCCAAGTGTTTTCACTTGCACAAATATATGGTCTCATCCATCCTTTCATTTCGTACTGGGAAAGCTGAGATAACAATAGGTTTATATACGGGTTGGCAGGGGAATAAGAAGAAACACAAATGTGGATATCATGATTATTTTTTTTCTAAATAATCGGTTATTCGAAAGGCGTGACGTCTTATTATGTTTGTTGTGTGTCATTTGTGTTTAAGTAGGTTTTTATATATTTTGTGACAGAAAACACGAACGGGCCAGATAAATTTGTCATACTACATTGCATTTACCAGCTGTTTGCCGTCACCGCACCGCGACGCAACAAAAGGAGTCGAGTTATTCGTGTCAAGAAAACGACGGATTTGTCTTCGTAGCTGCATCTCGTTAACTCAATGAAATGTGAGTCATTCACTGTTGATTTCTGAGACTAAAATCTCTGTATAAAACATATCGTCATCCCTGTCATTATCTTTGAATGGGATAATAATCTGAATTAAAGGGGATTTTCGTCTCAGAAACCCACGGTCACTTGTCGAATACCTTATTAAAACATATTTAGATATCTTTGCTTGGAAAACGACCAAGCGATTGTACTCATTAACCGGTGATGACCGGCTTTTGTTAGGCTTTTTAAATTTCGCAAACGACAGTGGCCGAGCGCAGGCAACGAGAGTAGAATGACGGTCGCATTGGGTGTCGGGCTTTTTTACCCAAATGATCGGCCAAACTGGCTGGTCTGTCCGGCTATTAGGTTTACCGACTTGGCAACTCAAGTTACATGATAGGTTTACTCGTCATATTGAAACACGTGCTGAGTAGTAAATTGTGCCAATCAAACAGCGCACCGTTACAACAGAACAAACAGAGTGACAAAATCTTGGTTGCAACTGTATAGACATAGCAGGGAATCGACAACGCGGTGTTGGATACCAAAATATTTGCTTTCTCACCTAACAGTCAATATTTTCTTAATGAAATTACCGCCAAATTGTAAGCTTATCAATTAGTTCCTATTTATAGATATAGCGATCTCTTGTAACCCTTGGGTATTGCTTAAGTTGAATAGCTATTTGAATAATAGACAATTTTTTCGCAAAGAGAGAACGATTGTCAACAGCAAATTAAAAGGAAAAAAAATATTCAAGTGTATATTCGCAAATATGTGTACATACATGCTACCTTGAAATAAAAATACACAAGGAAAATATGGTCTATAGTAAACGACTATTATGAGTCATCACGTCCTAATTGGGTCAATGACCCGTCGCTCACGTTATCTAGTCGACGTAAGATCAGATTACGACCTCATATCAAATAAGATTTACTGTTGTTTTCTAAGTTTATGAGCGTTGTTAAAATTCTTGATTTACAACATTGTTATGTACTATTCTTATTCATAACATCGTACCTTACGATCTGCTATATTACAGGTCAGCCTATTACCAAATTACGTACCTATAACTTTAGTGCCTTTTTTTTCAGAGGGGAATGCTTTATGCATACTCCGCGCCCCGGGGGGACGCGGTAGTTATGTGGTATTCTCCTCCATAGCGGAGGCATACCCACTAAACCCCTCTGTTCCTCCAACGCATCGGGACGGGACCACGGGCACGCTTTCGCTCTCATCCGCGGCCCATAACTTTAGTGCCTAAAAAACTTATCCAATTATTATTTTTGTTGAATATTACTCAGCTATAAATTAAATTCACTGCTTTTTATCAGGAGCAATTATTTCATCTCACGGACACGGTTTTCCCATAGTTTGTACAGTCAAGGAAAAATACGCTTATAAAATTAAAATTCTGATATACTTAATAGAAAATAATAAATAGATATCACTCATTGTAGAATATTGATTTGCGGTTTTTAATTAAATCGTCACTGCATAAAACAATTAATAAAAATATTATATTCCATTTTCAACAGAAGCAAAGGAGAAGTGTACTGTAAACTTTGACTTTTAAATGACAAGACCTGTCTAGCCTACCTATTGGTGATTTTCATATTCACTTAACGTCCCGTGAAAACTGGCAGGACTTATACAGTACAACAGCGTTTGCCTGCTTAGTCTATTTCTCTATAGTCAAAGACACTGAACTCTTTGACTACTGGACTAACAACGTCTTAAATAAAGCAATAAAATAATTAATAGGGATATAAAAACTATTTATTACAGATAAAAATTACACGAAAGTTTTAAAATAAGCCATTAACACTAATCATGATGACATAAAAAAAAGTATAAATATTTTCATAAAAATTTCTCATACAACAATATTTATAGCGACGTCTAATAAAACTGATAACTATGATTTAAGGCAACTCCGAAACCTAAGCAGACACCCAAAATTAATAGAATGGTTTAAAATAAACTCTTTAGCATTAGTGATAAGGTATAAATTAAAAATAATATAATTAAATAGAGTTTTTTGTAATTTCAGATCTATATTTTTTAATAAGAAAAACTAATTGGTTAACGGTTAACGTTAACGTTGGAGTATATATATTACATTCTGTTGACGTAATTTCCCTTTTCCTGTATTAGTACCAAAAAATTCTATAGTCAATTTACTATCAATAAAAAGAGATTCCATTTAAAATAAACATTTCACTACTATCGCCTGCAAGTCCGTCCGTGTTAGAATTAAAAAAAAAACTTAATTAGTATGTGTTCTTCCATACTATGTTCTACATTTATGCCAAATTTTAGCGAGTTCCATGCAACCATTCTCGAAATATCTTCTAACAAACATCAATCCATCGAAGCATTTGAAATTATCATATTAGTAAGATTTATTTTTAATCAATTAAGATATCAGGCAAAGCCGGGTCGATGACATGTATATAAAATAGTGAAACAGACTATAGCCGGTTCCGACGTAAGAACTGAGGACTGAGGACCGGTTGGAAGGATGTCTTCGGTCAATAACGATTGCACAAATGTATTACGTTACAGTTCATCTAAACAAAAACTTATTTGTTACACAAACAAGTAAATAAACTCTAATATCTAACTGATAAAGATCAAAATCGTCTACTTTATTATTGCGATGGAAAATAGAATCTTTCATTGATAAGATTCTTTTGTTTTTTGCATTTAACAATAATAAATTAGTAACATATTTCATTTTTTTACATCCATAACTCGACAATCTTTGTATGAGAAGTACCAAAAATAGAAAAAAATCATTTGAAATTGTCTCTTATTTAATTTCTGTCAATAATATCCAAATAAATAATTTTAAAGAATCTTTTGTTTAAAACATAAAGACAAAACCAAATACGTATCGGAATTTTTATTAATAACGACTTTAGACGAAAAAAAACTATCGAGTCGCTCAAAGAATTCAATATTGGTATTGAGAAGCGTTTGAAATTTCAAATCGAAAAGAAATATGTTTGATAAACGGTTAGTATTAGATATTGAATTATTATTCAAATGAGCAGTCAAAACAAGAGTTACAATATACGTTTCGGGTTGCGTTGCCACGATAATAAACTTGGTTGTACGGTTTGTATGGCCCTCGAAGTAAAAAGAACGATTACTGCATGAATGGACGCGCTG